TTTCCCTATTTCTAAATGAACATTAAAGGAAATATGACATAACTGAGCAGTTTCATATCTATTTATATGTGTAGCCGTTTAAGTCCCAGGATTTGGTGTCCTTACAGTTGTTTTGTTTGAAACAATGAACTGCATGTGCTTCACACAGCAAAAGGTTTTTCTTCTGGTTCTTGTGTTTACCGTTAGGACCTAAATAATTTAGAGTACTGCATGCTTTTTGGCTCGGCACCCTGCTGAGAAACCGGCTCCACACACGCACACTCACCAGCAGGCACACACACGCACACACACGCACCATCACTCACATGCACAGACAACCAATCTTCACCAATTTCTCCAACTACTTCAGTCAACTCTTCTCCATGCCTAACCCACATACACTATTACACACTCCTGCACCGCATAATGAAACATCTACCACCCATCCTGCAGTACCACACAAAGAGCTGTCAGCCCTCCCCCATCCTTCCTCTCCACTCTCATTGGCTGGGAGACCTGGATGCTGGCAGTGTCTCAGACCAATAAGACGTCTCCATGGTGATGTCATGGAGGCTGCAATGATGCTGTTGCTGATGCTGTTGCCCGGCGCCTTGTATCCGTGCAGCCAGACAGCGGTAACCGGTCCAACCGTCAGCAACAGAGAAGAAGACAGGGAGAGAGGGGGGTAAGTAGCATCCCAAAACACACAGCTGTACACACATGCTGGTTTCACTCGTGTCACTCTGGGTTCTCTTGGTTCAGTTTTTTAGCTTACCTAAATCAGAATTGGTAGGAGAGTGAGTACCTTGGTGGAGTGTAATGGGGCGAGGGTGAGGAGGGTGATGATGATGATGATGCAGTAGTTCCTACTGGCACGAGAAGGAGGAAGAAACGAGCGAGGGAGAGAACTCGGTGTACCCTCAAACTGTATGGCGTGCAACCTATGTCATTTATTATTGATCCTCCATATGAGCAGATGTAGCTTTGTGTCTGCTTTTTGGGGGAGAGAGAGAAAGAGAGCGAGAGAGGGAGGAAAACATGGGAGTGTTTTCATGTTTGGGGGTTAAAATGTGTGTGTGTATGATGACAACAGCAAAAAGAAAAGACGACAGAGAAAATATGAAATGATTGTTTTGAAAAGTCCGATTTGCTTTGTATTTGTAGTGTCCTGTCTTTTAACCTTAAGCTTTATATATACCACATCATTATTGTGTCTGTATATTGCTTTCTGTGTGCATCCATTAGGTAAGAAAAGTAGGTTAAAAAAAACAAACCTTAACGAGGGAAATCTTTGTAAAACTGTAAAACTATACAACTGAGTCATAATGGCTCATGGTTTGTCAGATATAGGTGTGAAGGGGGTAATTCGACCCATTTCCCCAGATACAAACATCATGCTGGTATACATTTTGAGTTAAATTAAAGTTGTATAGCTCCTTCAGAAACATTGAATCATTGCAGTGATAATAATAAAACAAATACACAGACATGTCGACATAACGTTAAGTATTCATGAGAATGTAAGATTCATTATGTTCTGTTTATTATTCATGCAAGAATATGAACACGTATGAAAGAAGTACATCTACTACAGTTTCCATGGTAACAGAGGCATTTTTTTTTCTTTTCTGACTTTTTGGAAACTCATCTTACACCGACAACTCTCTGAAGACATGAGTTGAATAATATCAAGTTTAAATGACAGACACAGATACACTTACATTAAAACAAAGTGACTCTTCTGTAGGTAACAGTTTCACAAGGTTGATGTGTCTTCATACTCATCAACAATAGATCATGAGAAGACGGACAGTGATTTGGTATATACTTCGAACACCGTCAGTAGCTTCCTGCAGACGATTACAGATGAAGCTATAGCACCAATTCATAACAACTGTTATCTCAAGACACTTTACATAAAGAGCAGGTAAAGACCTTACTCTTTGTTGTATCATGATCCAAACTTTAATCCATCATGATCACTAAGCAACAAGCAACTCTTTGTAAAGGCCTAAAAGCTGGTTACTTTTCTGGATAGGATTGGATTTGAAAATCCATTCTGTTTGCAACAGAGGCACAAACACATACATACATAGATCGAAAACAAAACTACCATGGATATCATCATGATGGACATGAGTGAGATAAGGGACACAAAGAGCAACAGTACATAATATATGTGTAACTTCACTTAACCTCATAGAAAACATTGACTTTTAGTGTCTTAAATCAAATATATGTAGCTAGCTTTAGATAACAGTTGTATTTTTCAAAAATGAAAATGTTCATAATTTATGTTCACGATGGTCCTAAAAGTACAAATGTCCTTGATTTGGCAGATTTCGTAACCAATGGGCATAACATGTCTAGCTCTGCCTCTGTTTGTTCAAGTGTTCATCCTAAACTAGCCTAACAGACTGCTGGTAACTTTATTTGTACCTGTAGAGATTTGGTTTAAAATGAGTGAGTCGGCCTCCTTTTACTCACAATGGACAACACAGGACAAAACATGAAGAAGTGACAACAGTGTTCAAGACAAGCTAAATAACCGTTAATGTAAAAACGCCGGATTGTAGCCGAGTAGGCTAATTTCCATCTGTAGTCTCTCAGCAGGTTGGTGGTACACAGGTACACAAGTTTACATACAACCACAGTGATGAGCAAAAACCAACAAGTAGGTCTAATGACCACAACAACATCAACTGACAGAGACACATAAAGCACAGAAAGTGGCTGTGCGATGTCGTTCAAAACAAATCAGGATAAAGTAAAGGTGCAGAGATCTAAAAAGTACTGAATTCTGCTCTGACAGCATCGCTGCTGTATTTGGTATAACTTGTTCATCTCAATGATGACTGCTGGAACAAAGCTGTTGTATGGCTTAGTTTCACAGGATGGGACTTTATACCTACATATGTCCAGATGGGAGAAGCTGAAATCCATCATTTAAAGGGTGGGTGTGTTCAAGACGTGATGAAGATTATTGTTCTGAAGAGACAGGTTCCCAAACCATGACACCAAGTAAATATAGTTTAAATAGAATCAATAGAAGCATGACAAAATGAGGTCGTCAAGGTTCTGTCCATGTGAAGGGAGAGGACAGTCAGTCAAGAAGTTTGTACACATTTCAGAAGTCAAAAAAGAAGTACAGTATTTGTTCTTTTTTGTTCTGTTCAACTGGAGGAAGGATTGTTCAAACCATTGCGCAGAGTCCTGGATGATTGGTCTCCTTGCCTTGCAGCAGACAGACAATAAGAGAATCGTCTGCAGACTTTAAAATGGTTCTTTCCTCTCTGCTACACTGCTGCACATGAGGATTAAACAGGAGAGGCGTTGGCACACATCCCCGTGGGGAGCCAGTGCAGGAGCAAACCTGGTCAGACGAGGTTCCATTTTGTGATTAAGATCTACACTTCAACCTTTTCATGTGACTCTTTGTAACAAACTAAATCCTACATTTCAGCAATGTTGACTTTTTCTGTAAGATTGAACATTCAAACAGAGAATGAAAATTCCTAAAAATCAGTACTCCTGTTATTTTATCTTTACAAACCCAGTCATTTATACCTGTTTTGGAAACCATTATACCTTACTGTTTATTATCCCAAACTAAGACAACATAAAAGAGAAAAATAACCTTCATTAGCCGTGGACTGTGATATGGGACTATCAGTACATACATATAACTAAATTGTATCATAAAAGTTCACTGTGATATGACTCCCAGTAGATTCATAATCAACATGATCCAAATGATCCCCCAATGTGTGCAGAAATTTTTTAGTTGCCGCCTCTCTCTCTCTCTCACTCTTTCTCTCTCTCTCTCTCTCTCTCTCTCCCTCGCCCTCTCTGTATTGACACACAGGTAATTGAGCTCCCTCCTCCTGCAGGAAGCAGGGCATTGATCTGCAATCTGGGTGGTTTCACAAGATGAGAAGCAGATGTGTGTGCATTAAATGATGTTCAAACTGTGTAGCTAACCGAATTATAACTGCTTGATGTATGCACAATGTGTGTATTTTAAGGTATTTGCGCGTGTTTGATGCATATGAATTGCCTAGATATATATGGATGTATGCCTTTGTGTGTGTATGCCCTGCAGAGTGAAGAGTGTGTGCCGTGCATTGTAATGAGACATTTCTCCTTCTCAGTGAAAAAGGTTGTCTCATCATTAGGACATTTTTCTCACTCTTTTGGACTCACCTATTTTCAGGCATTGCGCATCCTGAATGACAAAGCTTAAAAAACAATCTGCAAAGGAAGACATACAGGTAGGATGCTAGCTACCTTGTTAGCTTGGCTTGATCCAAGCAATTGATGTACACTATAGGATATATGTTGTATTATTTAGAGATTGATACCAAGCGTCAAAGCTCAGTCATGAACAGTGTTGAAGAGTTTAAATATCACAAGCGTCCACATAACCATATAGTGAAGCTACTTACTAAATCATATAATTGTTGAAGTAGCGAGACATTATTCCATTTAGCCAATGCAGAAGTGCAAAATCCTGCAATTCGTCGAGTGTCCACTTCAGGCTGGCTGCAGAAGCATCAGAAGTCACATACACACCCGTTCAAAGACTGTTTTTACAGCATATAGTATTAACATGTTTACTGCCTTGTTCAAAAAAGGAACTGGATCTGATGAGCTCATGTCTCTATCGGCACACACTGTACCAGGTGAATTTATTTGATATATAATCTGTTTGATCCTGTTGATTTGATGAAGAATAAGTGTTATTCATAATAAGGCGCGTAGCTGACCTGACTGACGGGCGGGCGAGATGTAACTTTTTTTTGTCAAGAGGCTAAAAATCCGCCTCAGCTCCTGTTGTTAGGTTGACTGAAAGTTAGGATGAGACAGCATGGTGACCACCATCGATGAGATTTCAAAGCCCCCTGCAGTAACAGATGGGTGACGTCACTCAGGATTCGTCGATTAATAATTACAGTCTATGGATCGCACTTTTGAGCTGGAGGAGCCATAAACAGAGTATTGGGTTAGCCTATGAAAACTGAAAGAAGAGGAAAAGCTTGACCACACCCCTTTAAAATTCCAAAATACATGAAGTCTTGCTTATAAGAATGTTGTATTTGTGTGTTTAATTTGTGCATGTGTACATCTGTACTAAATCAGTTTGTGGTTTTTTTCATGGTGAAAAAGAAATAGGAGAAGTTACTCTGCTTACTCTGTTACTTTGCTTAATGGTGGCAGAGCAGCAGAGAATCTGAACAGAAGTGGAGAAATAATCAATAGCAAGTTGTTAATCAAGAAGCAGTTCCACCTTGTACCTCCCCTGAAAGCAAACAATTGATTTTCATTAATCCATGATAATGCATTTAGCATGCTTCACAATAGATGCTGCTATATGTTGACAACAATTTATACAAATAAAAGGTGAAGTATTCCAATTAGCATGCATTGGCCTAAATGTAGGTAGGGGGATTAAAGGAGGAATGTGCAACAATTTACAAATAAATACAGGGTTTATTACAAGTTTATTGTATGTAATATAATGTCATGACTGTCAGAGTGAAAGTGTGAGTCCCGCTGGCTGTGTTGTTGTCGGAGCGGTGTTTACATCATGTTTACATGGACAGGACAGCCTACTCCTCTCTCTGTGTACAAAAACAGTTATAGTCAAGGACTAGAGAAAAGAAGAAGCACATACTTACTGATTATTTGAATGTCACATAAGCGTTTTGCGCGCAATGTGAAGCTACAAGCTAACTAAAGTGTGCTAACATTAGCCTGCTAACACAACAATTCAGGCCACAGGCAATTGCAGCACGAGCCAGGACACATTTGTCTGCCGCTTGTGATAAACTCCTCTGTGTGAACTCGAGTTGAGAGGGGTTAAAGGTGTGTAGCTGTAGGAGAGCGGAGGCTTCAGAATAGCGGAGGTGTGGCCAAACAGCAGTTATTTTTGGTTTAATGCTGGTGCTCAAGGGCGACATCTACTGGATCAGAAAAGTTGCACATTCTTGTGTGACTGTCACATCTGATTTGATGGTTTTGGATGTAAAACATTTCAGAAGATGAAGGGATGAAGGCCAGTTGTTAGCTAGTCTGGGGATTCTGGCAGGTGCATCACAGATGTTATTAGACCCCAAAAGGCTCTCATCAGGAACCATCAGGGCTTATCTCCTCCTGATTTTTAGAGTTCAAACATTCATTTGATCTCTAGCATATCTCTGCAGCCTGTTTTCTTCAACCCCTGATTCTTGTGTGTGCTCCCTCGATGGGAGTGTTCATGACACTGGATCCCAGAATTAAAGCAAAACTTAATTAGTGTGTGCGCTCAGCTGTGAAAAGGTCAACAAACTGTGTTAGACCGCTCCTGGATTCTCACCAAAGAAGATTATCCAATTAGCTGACAACAGCTTTTCAAGGATTTTACTCCTTTGAGTAATTGTTGTTAGGATTTTCCCTGAGGAGCAATGATGCAGAAAGTTTGGTCCATCTTTATCTTTTAATACCCTTATCGAGTTGAATTTACTGTAGAAGTGGACCTTTGTATTGCATTTAACAGAATAAAGGAAGTTGGGTTGAGGATAAATACTTTTGCTCTATCTTTCAATATCAATATCTTTAATATCTCGCCTGCTTGTTTGAAAGAATCTGAACATGTTAATCGCATCCGAGTCCATCAGATGGACATCAATTCAGTGTTGATGAGGCCATCTGAGAGGCAGGAAACAGACTGACAGTGAAAGCAGGTGGTGAAAGGTCTGGGGAGACAGTTTGCTCCATCTCCATTAGATTGAAAGAACTGTTCAAACTCTGCTTACCTCAAAATCTTTAATCAAAAAGGAACATATTGGATTTCTTTTTTCCCACAATAACATATTAAAGGCGTTATTGAAAGTAATCAAAAATCCACAGTCAACACACACATACTTTCCTTTAGTGACTTCATGTATTGTAGCAAATGCAGGACTGCTTAAAGGTCTGAAGTATTAATCTTCACCAGATTGTCATACAGTGGAAATATTGCAAAAATAAACTGGTAACAAGGTAATATTTATAATTAATTTGAGGGTTTTTAAGATTAATTTTTTGGCTTTATTGTGCCTTTATTGTAGAGATAGGACAGTGGATAGAGTTGGACAACAGGGAGAGAGAGAGAGAAACAGTGGGGAACGACATGCAGGAAAGGAGCCACAGGACGGATTAAAACCCGGGCTGCACATGTTAACCATTTCACTACCAGTTCCCCCGAAAAGGTCATGTTATAAAACAAAATGGTAAATGGCTCTTTTCTAGTCTTCCGACTAATCAAAGCACTTTTACACTGCTGGTCACACATTCAAACCCATTCACACACTGACGGCAGAGGCTCCTATGTAAAGTGTCCATCAGTATTAACTAATCTCATTATTAAACATTCATACGCCGCCGATGAAGCAGCCCAAGGACACCTCGACATGTTGCTGCCGGAGCTGGGGATCGAACCCCCTGACCTTCCAGTTGAGAGACAACCCGCTTTGACCAACCGAGCCACAGCCGGCCCAAGTGCAGAAAACAGACAGCGAAGACATTAGGACGTACATAAAGCATGTAAAAAAGGTTTTACTGAGTTAGGCTTGAACTTTGAGAATTGTCATGTTGCCGTTTTGGGAACACAAGATATCCCACATCATCAGTTTCAAGAGTAAACAAGCATGTGAACGAGAGGACTTTGTTTGTGTTAGTTACTGAATAAAGGAGGGATTGGATATATTGGTCAGATGTAGACGATGATGTCTGATGACCTCAGATCAAAAAGTAGCATGCTATATTACGTTTGTGATGACGTCTTATTATTTTCTTCTGTCTCATAAAACTCACTGCTTTGATTTTCTCCTCTCTCCAAAGTATTCAACACTGATCTATTTCTATCCCTGGCAAGAATTTACTCTCTATTTGGCCCGCATGTATTCCTTGTCTGCAGAGCTGTTCTCTCATTGGTTGAAATAAGCCTTAATGGGAGGCGCTAACACAATTATTCTGCAGCTTGCGGTGTTGTTCCTTTTTTTTTGTCCCCCTCTGCCACCTTCTCACATTCACGATGTGACCTTTGAAGCCGCCTTGTTTCATTCGTCCCCTTTGTGTGTCTGCATGTCTCCCTCTGACAGATTGAGAAGGATCTTCAGCTTCCCTGGAGAGTTACATACGCAGTGAGAAGATGACTCTGGCAGGTAAACGCAGCCTCAGCAGAAGTCGCACACCTCACTGCTCGCCTTTACCTTTACTGTGCTGTCAACGATGCATTGGATGAAAATTAATGAGTGCAATTTGATCATCTGAAGCATGTATCTTGTCATTATTATGAAGCTTTAAAATAACATAAAGACAATGACGAGTCAATGCCACTGAAATGGAAAATGATTACATCATCAGACCTAAAAGGCTTGCTCATCATTTAGATAGGAGTCATCACAATGTCACACTTAACAGAACAAGTGTGTGTGTGTTTGTGCGTCCTCAGCCTACAAAGAGAAGGTCAAAGAGCTCCCCCTGGTGTCTCTATTCTGCTCCTGCCTAAACCCACAGACTGCAGAAAAAACAACATACAAGGCAGAAGGTAAGGAAATCACTCTTTCACACCTCGACAGTCTTTCGGGGCAGAAAAAGCTATACTAACACAACCAACAAAGAAACGTGACATACTGAGAAATGTTGGAATTTCTGCAAGTAAAGCAATAAAGTAATAAAACACAAACCAAGCTCTGAAGGTGTCAGGTGACATTTTGCTTTTTTATATAAAAAGTGTAAAGTTAATGTCTAATCTCCATTAAACATGGTCATGATCCAACACCACAGATGCAGTGGACCTGGGTTGGTGCGTCATCAAAGATGTGGAGGTGATTGAGATAAACAAACGGGCTTCGGGCCAGGCCTTCGAGGTCATCCTTAAGCCCCCCTCCTTTGACGGCGTGCCAGAGCTCAATACTTCTATGCCACAGCGCCGTGACCCGTCCCTGGAGGAGATCCAGAAGAAGCTGGAGGCTGCGGAGGAAAGGCGGAAGGTGCGTAAAGCTGAGACGAAGTTAAGATTTGGCATCAAGAAACCCTCAAGAAACCTAAGTGGACCGGCCTTAACCCTAACTGTAACCCTAGCCCTAGGTATTTGTGGCCCATTCAGGCTTTGTCAACATCTGACAACACTCATTGTGGTAACCGTGATTTATTTATCCGGGGGGGGGGGAATGGATAAAAGGGAAAAAAGAGGGAGGGAATGGACTGGAGTTGATGGAAAAGAAGGGAGGAAACCCAAGCAGAGGGAGGGAGGGGAAGATGAAAAGAGGAACATGAAAGTACAGGGGCGATCATGCAAGGACACTCTGACAATGGTTCATATTCATCAAGCTAAGAGAAGCATGGAGAGCGGAGGAGGAGGAAGTCAGAGGGGAAAGGTGAGAACGGAGAATGTGCCCCTCCAATCAAACGTTCAGACATCCGAAAACAACATCTGTTTCCAGAAATAATCATTTCTTTTAATTTCATTAAAGGCACATTATTCATATTTCCCAATCACGTTCTCACAATCAGGACTACAGGAAACACTTATTTCAGACAAATTAAGACGTGTGAGTTTTAATATAAGGATGTCTTTTGTCTTCATAACATATTCAGCAGTTTCAGGTAGATTCAGGGCTAAGTTGAAAAGGAAAATATTTATTTTGTCCCACATCATCTTTATCATATAGAAACCTTTACAGTTGCAGTCAATGCCGCCCATAAATAGGGATTAAGGTGAACGCTTTCTTCGGCCCAGTCACATGGGGAGTTCCCCCAGAGGTTAGCAACAAAAGATGGTGCATCCTAATTTTAAACAATAATGACCATTATAATTTTATTTTACACCTTAATACTCACCATTACCTCTTAAAGCAACTTAAACACACTTTTTGATTTATTGTTGCTTCAGTAAAAGGTAAAGCTATTCCAGGACCTGCACAAAGTTAGGGTGCCAGGAAAGAAAGAAGAAGAAAAGGAGCGAGCTGGCTCAAAATAATTTGTGTCAGCTCTGAAGGCTGATGGGAGCCAGACAGGCAGAGGGAGCTAAAGTCAGCCAGGAGGCTAACGCTAACAGTACTGATCGAATACGTTGATTGAAATCATTTCATTGGAGGGCCCATTCACTGGACCTTCCAGCTGCATAGCCAACTGGTCCTGGTTGCAGTTTCGAGGCTTTACTTTAAGACACCTCAGCAGTGCCAGAGGCTTATTGGCCACCTCTTCAGGTCTCTTTTTCAAATGTCAAAGGTTAATATTTACATTAGTCAGGACTTACAGTGTTACTATGTTTAATGTTTTCCCGAGAAGACAAACTGATATACAACACAAAGCAGTGGCACACTTGTAATGAGTGATTAAGTGTTAAGCTGTTTATGAACGACACTTTAAGATGTTTTTTTAGAGTACGTCCATCCTAACAATAATGTTGTGTTTTGCGTCTCATAGGATCATTATTTTGTTCACTGGTGGAAAAACCCACGTAAATGACTAATAGCGCATTCATGTGGTGTCATCAGAAAAACAAGTTTTCAAGATGTCAAATGCACATGAACACCAGAGAGAATTAGTTGCCCGACTCGACGTCAGAATGTTTTTTTTTGCTGTTGTTACAACACTCCAACTTTCCTGAACTGAAAGCATGTGAAAAGTCACACTAAAGCACACTAAAGTCGGAAGAATAACTTCCCAACTCGGAAACTGGGACCATCCGAGGAGCCCCCTGAACGCAGCATAATTCTTGCATAAGTGGTCACAGTTGCATTAAATCAAACAAATGGAAGGCGCCCAAGAGACAGGTCCGAGGTTAGGGAATGTTGCTGTGTCGTTATCTAGCTCTTACTCATATTTTGGGATGATGAAATGTTTATTGTATTTTATATAATGTGTGTGTCTACCTGACCAGGGACTGCAGATGGAGTCTAGCTGAGATGAATGTATGATTTGTACACGGTCACTGAAAAACTAAAAAAATAACCTACACTAAACAAGTAAACAAAAACAGTCACTTAATGTCCTCTATGCCTTTAAGAGAAGGGGCACTGAGGTTTCCTTACATGCAAACATACATTTATCCTGTAATTTAATCTTTGAAACATCATTTCTGAGGTGTGCCACACTTCCATTAACAGCCTTTCAGAGGGCCCAGCTGAGAACACAAACCCCTTAAAGACGCTCAACCTTTACCCAAAACATGACCCTCTGTTAATGGAGCATGTAAGATGTTGCATTTTTGAAGATCTTAAAGACTGCTGTTAATTGCTTTGCTCTCTATCTCCCTCTAGTGCCAGGAGGCTGAGCTGCTGAAGCACCTGGCCGAGAAGAGGGAGCATGAGCGAGAGGTGATCCAGAAGGCGTTTGAGGAGAACAACAACTTCATCAAGAATGCCAAGGAAAAGCTCGAGCAGAAGATGGAGGCCAACAAGGAGAACCGGGAGGCTCTGCTCGCCGCCATGCTGGAGAGGCTGCAGGAGAAGGTACTGTCCAGTTTCCTGTAATCAAATCCAACTTTGATGGTTGTTGTTTTCTTACCCTGAAACTTTTCCTGAATAATAGATAAAGTCCAGTTCTACTAGTTCAACAACACTGTACAGTCATTTCAGGTGCAATCTAATATTCTTCTTGCTATTTAATGCACTAGCGCTAATTTCGGTGCAAGGCATTTGAAGTGATGCTTTTAGTCTTTATGATAGATGAGAAGTCCAAAACCACGTTCATGTACACCGTTAAAGCTCAGAGCTGGAGTTTTCAGCTGATTTCTCTGGTGTGAAGGAAGTATACACAATGTGTTATCATTTTTACATTTCTGTTACTGTATGGGTTATCAAACACGTAACATTGTAATTCTCAGTTTTGAGTGGAGGGGAGGGTGTAGTGAACTTTGGAGAGCACACGGCTGTGGCTCAGCGGTAGTTTCTGTTGTCTCTCGTGGGTTTCGATCCTCAGCTCCTGCAGCTTCATATCTGATGTGTCCTTGTTGCTCCCGCTGCTTCGTGGGCTCATGGAGGTGTGTGAATGGATTAGTTATTAATACTGATGGACACTTTACTCAGCAGCCTCTGCTAACTGTGTGTGAATGTGTAGGTGTGACCTGCGGTGTAAAAGGGCTTTGAGCTTTCAGAAGACAAGAAAACAGTATACAAGCTCAACTCCATTTACCATTTACATGTTTAATTATTTTGTAAGTTATAAAGCTAAGCTAGGCTAATTACCTCACCTCTACAGATTTTGTTGATTTAGCTTTAGAGTTGGACCAATCTTTTTATCGATAGGAAATCTTTTTTTTTTTTTTTGTCATACTTTGAAAGGAAAAGCGAATCAGTTATGGAGCTGTTTTCTTTTCTCTAACTGATATTAGATGATGTATTTGTATGCCAGCAGCCAGTTTACTTAGTTTTGGCGTGGAGACTGGAATCAGAGAGGGGAAAAAGTCAGGCACTGTCTGGAGGTGTGAAGGTGTGAAAATCCACCTAATAGCATCTTTACAGATGCCGTTTAAAAGTTTTGACATATTTTTATAGTCAGGAAATTAGAATTTCATTTCATGTGTATCGTTGGATTGCCGCAGACTCCAGGTCAGAGTCCAGAAATAAACACAGGAATATATTTCTACCATTAAAAGATGACGGTGGTACTGATTTCATCTTCACAAAGGGAAAGAGCGTTATTTCCAAAATGTCAAAATTTTCCTTTACAAGCATATGTTTTAATCTAAATGAGGCATGTATTTCTATTTTAACATTGTTCACAAACTTGATAAGAAATAATGAATTATATAAGATGGAAAATACTCTCTCTGTATCATTCTTCTGTTTAAAATCTATACAAATAGTCACTGTAATATGACTTAGTTCTGCCAGCCTCCCCCTGTTTTAATGCTTATTCATACATAACTAATGAGTCTCGTGTTGCCATGTCTTTGTGTTCGTCTGGCAGGACAAGCACGCAGAAGAAGTGAGGAAGAACAAGGAGATGAAGGAGGAAGCCTGCCGATAGATGAGATCAGCTGGGGAAGACAGAAGAGAACGAGGTGGACTGGGGACTTTCAAAGATGGTAAAAAAAAAAAAAAATCAAAACAGTGCAGGAAAGAAAAAAAAAGAACTCAATAACTGGAAAAAAAAAGGCAAATTTTCACATTAAATGTTATCGTTCTGAACAAGCTGTACAAAGTTAAGCCAAATCTTGATGTTGAAAATACGAGAAGTGTTGAAAAAAAATCTCTTCTTTTTTCTTAAGGAAATTTGGTGGTGTGGTGTGGAAGGGGAGGGGGGGGGTAATGATTGTCTGGTGAGGAATGAAACCTCCATCATGGATGAGGTAAATGCTAAATCATAGGCTCTCTGGTTACAATAATTCTTTCAGACAGGAAGCAGGAAACTAAAACGGTTTGTGATCTGCTTAAAGTGCTCTCTTTCCATTTGGTTGTATCAAAAAGTGTCACTGAATACAACTTGTTTGGCAGCAGCTATTTACACTGTTCCCTCCAGCGTTACCATGACTACGGAGGTGGGCGTTATCATTTACATATTTCCCTGGATGCACAGATGTAGTTAAGGGGCTCATTTCCTTTCAAATCAATTTAAAATACAGAGCTTCTTTTTACAGGATATCAGCCAGACATATAAACAGGACACAACTTACATAATTCTGCTGTTTTCTACTAAATAGAAAGGTTTCCCCCTGGCCCACCACTCTCATGCTGATTCGTCTCTGCACAGTTTATGGGTGTTTTTGGTTTGGGATAGTCTGCGTGTGCTGAACTCGGTGAATCTCTCAGTATGGTTAATGAATATAAAAAAGGAGCATCAGGTTTACTGTATGTTTGTCTCTACAGAGCTCTCGGGAAGTAAAAGAAACAAAAAAAAAAACATAAAAAGGAGGATGCTTTCCTGTATTCTGCCATCAGGCTCTTAGTGAAACTTTAACTAGTAGTGTAGTTGTAGATCAGTGACATGCATTTGAGACTCTTAGATTTAGAGCACTGTTTGCACTCTTTTTTTCATTAAGCACAAATCAAAAGCACACACGCATATACATGAAGGCAGGCTCATATATATACACACAGTCTAAACAACAATAACATCACAAGGAAAGTACAGGATTCAGACATATTTGGCTTTGAATGTACAACTTTTGGGGGTTTCTGGCTAACCAGCGGTCTCCCTTCGCGTTGGCATGAGTCACACAAGTATCCGTTTATGATTTGAGAGGGGAGTGAAACCCATTGGAGTAAAAAGAAAGGTGAAATTTGCTCGAGTTGTTGAGTCATACTGACTTGATTGAAGCGTCTAAAATGTTTGCACTGTCACTGGGAGGTTGTAAACGTGGGATTTGTACTTGCTGTAATTGTGTGTTGCTGTATATCCTAAACGGCTGGATTGATTGTAATTATTTGGCATGGTCAGTAAAAACTGCTTGACTGAATAAACATGTTGTCCTTCTTTCTGTTTCTCTTTGGTTGGAAGTACATTATTGAGCATGGAGGTTTATACTCACTGAGATGCAGGGGTGTATCCAGACTTTTTAAACTGGGGATCGGTGCCATGCTAAAGGGCACCTCGGCAGTGCTCAGAAAGTGAAGTGGCACCTTTCCAGCTACCAGACCAATTTCCAGACTTCATCCGCACTTGGAATTGGACCTGCGACCCTCAGGTTCCCAACCCACAGTCCCTACAGGCTGAACTACTCCCATGCCGTATGCCAAGGATATGAACTAGTATGCTTTCAAATTCAACTTTCCATTTTCTTTAAGTATTTATTTAACACAAAAAGACACAAAAGCTTGAACAAAATCTTTAATAAAATGTTTTTCATATTGTTTACAATGAAATATGATTTTTATAATAAATGTGAAACATTATAGGGATTAAAAGACAAAATCTCACATCATGCAGGCCAAGAGAAATATACACATTTACATGATTTATTCCGCTTGTTAGCATCCAGCTACGCTACAAGCTTCTTTGTCTTAACAGTATAAAAAATTATTAAACACACAGGATTCTTTGATTCAGTGATTACATTGCGTTATACAGATTTATTATGGACAAAAATAAAAAAGTACGCTTCAAGCCTTGCTCACAGAAGTCTCCTGTAGTAAAACACTGGGCCTCACACATGTGCAGCCCACTGCGACCTCCTCCGTCCCCAGTCTAAAGGTGTACCCCTTCTTCGTCTTCTTCCCGCTTTTCTTGTTGGGCCGCTGCCTTTGGACTCTGGAGTGAAATGAAAGGATTAGTGTAGGTTGAGTAAACTGTACACAGATATTATCATTGTAAGGTTTTCAGGTAAATTAAATTAAATGACAGCAGTTTAGAAGACAAGAAGAATGATGATGAAATCCAAATCAAAAACCATGACATCATTCTTATTTGATTGACGTGTTTTACCATTCTGAGAATATAACGTCAAGAGTACAAAACTCATGATACAAATTTCACTGTGTTGTCTTTCATATGCCTACTTTTAGGAAAATAAAAACTTTTTTCAGATTGTAGTTATTTATTTCATAATGCATATCAAAATCAGCTTTGACTCTTGGAAAACAGTGAGGTACTGCATTGACTCCATAAGATGTTATCACAACATGTGTAAAAGATGGACGTAGTATCAGTTACGTCAGCCATTTTTTTCTGTAGAAGTGTTTTGAAGCTAAATGATGGTGGTCGCCATATTGGAAATTACATTTTCACCTAACTTTTGATCAGCTTAGAAAACAGAGGTGGAGCCTCAAGCCTCCTGGCAAACAGCTACCTGGAAAACACACCTACCTGTCAGTCAACTCAGCCACGCTCATCATTATGCAAACCTATGCGTTACTTTTAACCACAATATCATCAAAGCTGATGCACCATAAAGATGTTTCGCCTTGTACAGTTTTAACCAACAAAGAAAGAAGTTATAAAAAAATAGGTGCTTTTAAAAATGGGACCTTTGGAGATTCCTTGTGTTATACTAGTAGCGTATGTCTGTCTGTGAATAACTCAGTGCGCGTGTGTGTGGGTGGTGAAGTGAGCAAGTGAGGAGAGAGAGAACGAAAATGAGTGTGTGTGTGCGAGGTACGCTGTTACAGTGGCTCTAAGAGCAACATGTATGTGTAGTTTGAGCTCTGTGTATTAAAAATGAAATGAACCGACACTTCAAGAAACAAGCCGGAGGGTGACGGGGGTCAGACCCGAGGTTAAGAGCTACAACTTTGGCCCTGGAGCACACCAATAGGTGTCCCTGTGCGCTCTGACCACGGTCGAAATGCTGAAGCTGGAAAGGTTAACACTTTCCTTTTGGAGCCAGCTCAAGTGGGCACATGTGGAACCACAGTTTAATGCAGTTCTGCATTTGGTTTTAATTTTCTCCCTTACTGGTATACCATTATAATTTATCCACAATGATATCCCACCTTAGAAGCTTATGTCACATATAAAAGATAAAGAGAATAAATGTTCTCATCATTACATTTAACTTTTTTTAAGGAAGACTGAAAGCCAACTTCAAAGAACCCTCTTTAAATACAAAGGTGGTGGCTCACCTGTGGAGGACCAGGACCTGGTGGAAGATAGGTTTAGCCATCAGGGCCGCATCCTCTCCAAGCCCCTGCAGGCTCAGACAGCCGGAGGTCAGGCACTTAGCATGAGAGATCCACATTGGCAGACGAGATGCCTCGAACGAGTGACTGAGGAAAGTTCAATACTTGAAATTACAAAATTACCGAACACATTCTGTTTTATTGCACTCTCAAGAAGGCGCAAAGAGTTGCCGAAAAACGATGACATCATGGACCCCTCACCCTCACCTGTATGTCCATGGTGACAGAGACATATTGGCGATGTTTGAGGCAGACACACTGGTGATATGAGACAGCACTGAAGGGTCCAGGAGCAGTCTCACAGTCTTGCCTTTCGGTCTGGTTCTCTGTCTTAAGTTCACTGACTGGCTCCTCCTGGTAGCATTTAAGAGCACGACCAGGCTCAGCACCAGCACAGCTCGAAACACCTTAACACAAGAAGACAAGGGAGTGCATGGGGCTTTTGGTTATTGGACATTAAAACATGACACAAACAAAAAAGAAACCGCTGAAGAGAAATCCAGAAAAGGAAGAAGTCATTAGCAAACTATATTTACAAGAATGCTTGATCTATTGTGAACCCTTTTTGTGTGTTTAGCAGGTTTTCCATTTAATCAATTCTAACGATGTTTGCATGCATCAGATTTTAAGAACCAAAGGCTCAAAGTAGAGGAAAAGAAGTAAAACGATAAACCTGCTTTTTATAAAATCACTCAATTTTATGTCATATACACCTTTAAGCCCCCCTATAAATAATCTTGTTGTCTATAAAACCAGTTACAGATAATGAGAGCAGAAACACAACTCACCAGCTGCATGATTGTGTCGTCTTCCTGCAGAGCTGATCTTTACTTGTGCTGCTCTGCCGTCTTGTTGTGTCCACACTCTCTCTCTGTGTTTATATGCAGGAAGACTGTGTTGGTGTGTGTTGGCTAGATCTGCTTTCATTTCCGCTAAGACTGTGACTGATCTCAAAGGTGTACATGTTGATTTGTAAAGAGATAACTGTTTGTCCAATTGTGGTCAGAGTTGATTTCAGTCAGTCACCTTTTACATCTGTACCTATGTGTGTGTGTGTGTGTGTGTGTGCGTGTGTGTGTGTGTGTGTGTGTGTGTGTGTGTGTGTGTGTGTGTGTGTGTGTGTGTGTGTGTAATTGTCATTGTCATGGAGTCTGTGATTACAGTATAAACCTATAGATAGCATTGAATGTGTCACTTGGCCCCCTTTCATCCTCATTTATTCCCTTGTCAAAGTGTGACCTACCTTTGTGACACATTCATCTGCCTCTTTTGATGCATCCTGTTGAAAGGTGTGAAAACGTTCTTTCCCCTTGCACGGCTTTTTTCATGTTTCTGTGAAAACATTTCTATAACTTATAGTTGTCTGGCAAGAAATATTGAGGGGGTTCCCAGATTATGGAATGTGGCGCAAAGTGTCCAAACCAGACCAGACAGGTTTTTTTACCCTTCTAAGGCCTCCGTTTAAAATAGACCCTAATGTGTTGCCTATCAATGAGAGCAGAATAGTATCTATATTGTTCATTAACCTTCTGCCAGCAGAGATCCTTTAAACAGAGGATCAAACTATTGGCATCATTGTTTCACATTGAATCTCAAAACACATTGTTACAACACTTACACAGTTGCAACACACACTTACAATGTAGGGCAAGAAAATGCTGACGGGGGTTCTCGTGATGAATCAGCAGATACATAAAAAAAAATTGTGGTAACATCTTCTTACCCCATGCATCATTTAGCCCTTTAAGTGGAACATAGCTGTACTGGATGTACAGTTCAGGTTTTTAAGCAGTTTGAGACTTTAGGCCCTTCGAAAATGTGTTAAAGGTAACTTATTATTCTCCTTTTCAACAAGTTTAAACAAGTCTCAGAGCTCCTCAAAACATGTCTGTGAAGTTTATCACTAAGAAATCCACTCTGAACCTGGATTTGATCATGTCTATAGACCCCTCTACTCCAGACCTGCTTAGAACAGGCTGTTTCTGTGTCTGTACCTTTAAATTTAAATTGGCATGCAGGTGGCTTTGACTTTCTTGCATCATGCCCAATCGAAGGCTGACTCACAGGTAAGAACAAACACCTTTCTGTGGGAGTGTCACCTACCTGTCACAAAGGGTACAGATCTCCAAACAGCCTGTTTGAGGAGAACTTTTCTGAAAAGTGGAGCAGGCAAAGTGTATTTTGCATAGTGGGAGATGAAGAGTCTAGGGCCCAGCTCATGAAGGTTAGCAAAAACCTAGTCCATAGATTTAAGAAACAACACATGATAATAGTTTTTTTGTTTTTTTTAACCTAAATTCTCACTGTTTCTTATTAATGCAGAAATACACATTTGATTAATTGTTGAACGGGCCCTTTGCTCCATCAAGCAGCTTGGTTACATAACTGCGAGCAGACTCGTTTCCCAAAGGTGAAACCTGATGTGATACAAAGTGACAGATTCAAGTTCAGGATCATTTATTAATACCACTGCTCGTCACAAGTACTGCTATGAAGAAAAGCATCTCACTTATCAATAATCAATCACAGGACAAAATGATTACAGTGCATTATGCAACAAATGAAAGGAAGAGGAGAAATCAGAGCCCAAGATACAGAATATCAAGTTAGTAAGAGACGTAGATCGTCCTGTGAGTTTATCATTGTGCTGCAGTGGATGCCAACTTGATGGAGTTTATTAACATGAGTTGTTTGGTATAGTAAGAATAGAGAAATGGTTCAATCAGTCAGTCTTTATTTGCATAGAAGCAATTCATACCATGTGTTAAGACACTTTACAAAAAGCCGGTAAAAGACCTCACTCTTTGTTATATTATCTATAAAGACCCAACATTCATCCATCATGAGCACTAAGTAACATTTAGCAAAGTTACAGTGGCAAAGAAAAATCTTCCTTTAGGAGGCAGAAACATCGAGGAGAACCAGACTCAGAGACAATCACACTAACAACAACAGTGAATAAGACAGATTTATAGCTTCACTGTCAGTAATAATGTTTAAGTATTATCAGCTAAGTGTGAGAATAGACTGATCAGTCTGATATTAACGTTAGCTGTGGTTCAAGAGCCCATCGTTATGCCCTTTGTGCAAATCAGATGAACAGAGACAGAAAATCTGGAATTGAAAGCATTTTCACTCAGTCTCAGACAGGGCGGACTCCGGATTTTAAATCAAGCTTGGTCAAGATCACCACTGACCTGCTATGTTTCCATGTCATCATCGTGATAAGAAGGAAAATGTCTCTTTCTGAAAAAAACCTGAACAATTTCACTTACCTTCCCGGTGTTACAGTCTAAGTGAGTGACACGCCCACTGAACACAAGATGATCATTTTTCATTGATATGTATGGTCTTGGTCTCGTCTCGGTCTCGGAGCACTCTCGGTATGTCTTGGTCTCGGTTGACTACAACACTACTGAATGCAGTTTATTCTTTTCTTTTTTTTGACATATTAGGTACATATTATTTTCTGTATCTTAATTATGTTTAGATTATTTTTTTATTTGGTATGATTTTAACATTATTTAGGTGGCAGCTTCAAATAAGTTCTTTGAATTTTCTTCCTCTGCCTGCACTGAATTTTGTCTATTTCATTATTTGTCTACATAAATGTTTATTTTTTTACTGTGCAAATTAAAAAAAGAAAACATGCAATGCAGGGTTCTTTATCCTTTCTTGATTCATCAAAACGTCATTTGTTTTTTCCTTTATAAAATAGTCAGTGTGATCTTTGAAGACAGCTCAACCTGACTGAGTTGAAGCTGCACTTTGTGAGGAAGGTGGGGGCTGTGACCTTGGATAAGATATGTGATATGAGTCATCTGTGGGTGTACAGTGCTCATGTCTTGTTTCGTATGATGGCAGCATTTGCACGCTCTTTGTCTGGGGTCGATGTCTTATCTTTAAACTCATCAGATTCAGTGGGTTTACTTTACAAAGCAAAAAGTCAGTTACTGAAATGCAATGTGTATGATCTGACTCAGGGTGAACCTGAGTCTGTGTGTGGTGGTAGTCAAGTGATGACTTAACTGAGGTCGATCAACAGTATGCCATACTGTACTCTGAATCACACATCAGACTCTAATGTCACTGGTTTCATCATCACATTCATTCCTTTTCACATACAAGTCAAAGTTCATACTACAAAGTAGCTGCTCTGTGGTAACCATGGACACCAAGAAAGTAGCATAGTGCTGTAGAATAGAATGTTTGGGTTGCTTAGGAACAGTCTAGTTTCAGTTAAATTGTGTTAACAACAATGTTTTGATATTAACTTTTACTTCTATGTTGTGCTCATATAACTGTTGTATTAAAGTAATATCACACCCGAGGTCGAGATGCTGATATATTAAATTCATCACTCCCTCACTTGTGAAATTCTAAATACATCTTGTGGGCTGTGCCTCCCATACAATGTGAAGTCATAACTCTTCTTCTGGGGTTTAAAATGAATAGCTTCCTGTAAACAAACCAGTAACCTCTGACTTTGTGAGAACAAAATTAAACAGCAACGGTTGAGCTTTGAAGAAACGTCGCCATGGTTGGCTTTGTAAGTTATATTTTATGTGTCTACTTCAATCTATGGTCTCTGTATAATAATGGTGTCTTGTGAGCCTGTTTTGGGCTGGGCATATTAAGCATGACACAATAATAAATAAAATCAATCTAGATGATGTGAAGTATGCAGACTCAGTGCACAAGCATGTCCACAGCCACATTTTCTTTTAGCACCGTCAAATCATTTGAGAACACAAATCATTTTCAAAAGAGTTACATTTATTTATTTTTTAACTACAGTTTTTTCACCACTTCAATACTTGTTTTGAACTATATACAAATCCAGACAACACTAGTGCTGGTCTATAATGTCTTTTTTACGGTGTTGAATACACAGACTGTTTTATTGCTCCACAAAAGTTGTAAATGCACAGAACTGTAAAACCTGTCTCCCTCATATGAACTGAGCCGTTCAGGAATCACTCTAATGGCAGTGTGTTGATGCAGGTGAAGCTCAAATGTTCATGAATATATTTTTTACAGCTCAGAAAAAAGAAGCTGGGTGCTGCTCTGTTTCTCCAGGCCACACCAGTGAAACCCAATCCAACATTAGAATAAACTTTTCCTGATGATCACGGGTTATTGATGTGAGCAGAAAGTTAACATTATAGAAAAAGAGACAATAACAGAATGGATGAAAAATAAATGGGGGTGGGGGTCCATTATGTACATTTGGTAATAAATCACTGTTTCTTTCAGAGTCTGTGGAATCAATTCAAGAAACACACGTTGTCCTCAGATGAGGAAGATGATGTCATCGGCGACCATGACCTGGTTGTCTTCCTGCATGCGGGCTAAAGCCGATCGAACTTCGGGCTCTGTGAAGCGATTCTCAAGCGCTTTGTTGATGTCGTCCATCAGGGTCTTCATCTTCACGGACTGAGCGTGAGCAGACTGGAACACTGCGAACAGGGAGGACTTGAACTCCTTCAGCCTGTCGGAGGACACGAGGAGAGATTACAATCTTTCACATCACACTAATGTTTCTTAAATGCATGATATTTTATTTCACAGGAGATTGTGCAAACCAAAGTAAACATACCTACAAGTCTATCCCAGCTAAATGACATTTGCCCTAATTTGTGTAGCAGCTAGTAAGAACTGAATCATGTAAACTGTACTCTCACTTCTGTTTGTTTTCATCACCCACCTCTCTGCAGACAGCCCAGTGTCTTCAGCCTGGGAGGTGGCATCCATCGCCTCCTCTTCCTCCCTCGGTACCTTGGCTGGTTTTGGAGTGCCTGCTTGGACTAAAGGGGTAAAAGAAATCATCAGTCCTCAAATACACTAGAGATTATTTTTAAACAGTCATTCTATTAAAACAAGGCAGCGCAGACTCTTAAATCCCCTGGAAACTTAAAGTTTAATCTGAAGATAT